ACAGCCTGAGAGAGGCCCCATGGCAGCAAAGCTGCTGTGTGCAGACCAGGCTGTGAATGCTGCATGTTGCCAGGCCCGCGGCAAGAGTGGGAGAGAAACAGTGGGGGAAGCGAGGCCAAGACCCTGACTGCAAGGATCTTTAGTAATCTCTGCACGTGAAAAATCCAGAGGCACGGGCACTACAGTAGATCACCCAGTACGTACATGATTGTAAAGGCAGATGTTCAGGTCCTCTTTTGGAGGAAGGCAGAAGATGGCTTTGAAGCACACGTGTGAAAGAGGTATTATTTCTTCCTCCGAAATTGCCTGCATTTCACTGGAAATAGAGAGACCTTGATGTTGGGAGCAGCGCTTTGATGTTGGTCCCCCCCTGGGCAAGGCTCCCTAGAAGGGATGTGGAGCCCTGCTGAGAGGCACCTCCTCCACGGGACTGGCCTGGGCTGGAGGACAGTCCTGATGCCTCCTGCTTTGGGACAAGAGCCAAGACTGTGCAGGGAGCTTCATGGCTTCCTCCAACCTCTGCAGAAGCCCATAGCAGGGCAGAGCTGAGGGCTACCCTGCCCACGTGGGGATGCTTCCCAGCTAAGATCAGAGCCAGCAGGACTGTGCCCTGGGGATGTGTGGGAAAAACCGGGGCTGGGCTGGTACCTCAAGGCGGCGATTGCAAGCATGGCTTGGTACCGCACTGCTGTGCACAGCTGGTCCGTGGGCTCATTTTCCAGCAGCTCCTGTAGAGTACAACCAGGATGAGACCTAGCAGTCACCAGCACCCAGCACCAGCAGACCTGGCGGCCGGTCAGCAAGTGCCGGAGGAGCCCCAGTGCCTCCAGCCCAGCACCAGAACGCAAAGGCACCCTGCGTCCCACTGCTGAGATCTCAGCAGCACTCATAGTCCCCTGCCCACCCCTGCCTCACAGGCTGCCAGTCCCTGGACAGCTCTGCCCTCTCCCACAACCCCTTATGTTGTCCCCTCACCTTGACTTTCTCTGCCAAGTTCTTCTCACGGCAGAAAATAGCCAGGCTCTCACACAAGCCCTTCTTTTTGCTGATTCTGCAGATGCTGCAGATGCTCTCCAGAAACATCATCTTGAGCATCTCCTCCTGGCCACCACAGAGAGACAAGGAGAGAGCGTGAGCTGGGAGAGCTGTGTCCGGTAGCCCCGGAGCATTACAGGGTGTGGAGCAGTGTGGGATGCCTGGAGGGCAGCAGCTCTGTCCAGCCAGTGGCCCTCCTGCAGCCTGAAGGCAGAGCCACAGGGACCATCCAGAGATGCAGGCACAGCTGAGATGTTACCTTTTCTGTACTCCTGAGGAAGTGTTCTATGATATCTATGGCTTCCTTCTCCTCTGTCTCTTCATTCTCCTCCTCTCCATAGAGAGACAGGCTGTCAGCATCTAACGAAGAAGCAGAGTGAGCAGTGCTGTAGAGGGATCGAAGGCAGTCACAAACAGAGGAGGGAGCTCTGCCCTCTCCAGGCTTGTGCCTGCTTGCCTGGCACAGTCTGCCCATGGCTGCCTGAACACAGGGCGCTTGCTACCCCAGCCCACCCTGCTGGGGACCCTCACTCACCGCCATGCAGCGACTGCACCTCGGTCACCTCGTAGGGCTCCGGTGGAGGCCTCTCCTCGGGAGCCCCACTCTCTGCCCAGGCCACCCTCGGGCGGCTGGGGGGTCTCTCCTCCATCCTGTGGGATGAGGGCTGATGGTGGGGAATGGGCAGACACGGGGCTGCCAGGGGTTGAGGAAACGATGTGGGCTGCGCTCGGGGGCGCAGATAGGAGTGGTGCCAAACAGAACAAATGATTTTACAGAGTGGTGCACTAAGAACAAATCAGGATGAGTGGTAGGAAGGACTATAGCACAAAGACATAGAGCAAGGACTTCTGTTACCACCTGGAAAGGAGAATTCATCAAAATGTTGCCCATCCAATGCAGCGTGTCCTGTGTTTGCTTGTTTGGTACATTGTGAAGCTCCATATACTTCTGATGGCAGTCTTCTTTGCTCTGGCAGTCACAGCTACAGCCAGAGCAACTTTATCCTCTTTATACTTTATGGCCAAGCAAATGCCATCTGTGTGTAAATGCCTGAGTGTTTGTCACGTGGGTGGATTGTGCCATCTACAATTCCTTGTTCTCTAGCATCTCCTGCTTTGTACTCCTTTACCAGTGCTGTAGCGTTCTAACTCAGTCCCTCCTTCCTCTGTTCTTGTGTGCAGGGACCCTCCCACCACAGTTCCAATTCAGTCTGTACGAGAAATTTCCTCTGGTGACTCTCTTCTCCCCATACCTTGAGGGAGAAGAGAGTTTCTGCTGCATTTTTGTGGCATTGTCATTATTCATGTTATGATCACTGTACGAGTTAAATGTCAGCAGAGAAGATTCGGAGAATCATTCTGTCCCATTTTGAAATGCAAACCCAAAATCAAAGATCTTTCACTCTGAATTTCAGGGTCTCCAAGGTATAAGAAGAGATGTTTTTTTCCCCTTGAAATAAAAACCCATTTGCCTTGTTCCACATGGCAAACTCATGCCCAGGCACACAGCACTACTGAGCAAACAGGAGCTTTGCTTCATCTCTGCACTTCATCTTTGCAAGAAGTTAGGAAAACAATTACTTTCTTACTTCATATCTGTCGAAGGCCCAGCAAAATGAGCAGACCATGAAGCTAGTCTTACTTTGTACACAGAGGGAATAGTGCCCTTGATAGACCTTGAAGATAAGCCTTGGGGTACTTACGAGTGTATGCCAGTTTAAAGACTTTTTTTATTTTCTTTAGTGGAACTGCATGCTGTTGTTGATCGTCCAGCCCTCCAATGGATCTGTATCCCCATGAAAGGCCTATCACCCCTCCAGAGAATCAGTAGCACTTCTCATGGAGTATTGCACTCCCCATGGAGTAAGGCCACCAAACGTGCTGAGGATGCACTCTTGCATTAGACCAGTCCTCTGATTTCCATCTATTCTTGACACCACGAACCTCAGGGAAACAGCCTACACCACCATGGTTCTTCTCATGGGATGCAGCCTCCTTCAGCCCTGCTCCAGCTGCTCCTTTGTGGGCTCCTCCCACAGTTCCCATTTGGAGCTGGCTTGGGAAGGCTCTTCTCCCAGGCTCTCCTCATGGTGGTTCCAAATACAGTCCACTGCTACATAAACCCTGCACATAAGCTCAACACAGGAGGACACTAAGGGAACAGCTTGGTAATTGAAGTTTTAATTAATCATACTTATGATGAAATAGGGAACTGCAGAGCCAGCAACACAGTTCTACAAGCCTAGCCCATCCTGATTTTCTCTGCTGCTGTGAACGTCCCAGAATCTGGATTGTCAGTGTTGCCGGAGAATGGACTAGCGGATGACTGTCACGTTCCAAAGAATGGAGGACTGCAACAGAAGGAAACAAAACAGGGGTGAAACCCTGCAACCTGCAGTGACCCGCCAGCATCTACTTCAGACCATGCCAGCCCCAGCCGCACCCATCACTTTTCCAGGCCAGGATGAGCAGAGTGTACCTGGGGGCTGCAGGGCTGTGCCTTGCTGCCAGGGCAGGGTTCAAAGAGGGACCCAGGGGTTGGGCTCACCAATGAACAAGAGAGTCTCTTGTCACACAGAAGCCTGAGAATCCTTCAGGTACAGGACAGGAGGACAACAACAGGAACGGCTTTTGTAATTGAAGTTCTAGTCAGTCAGACTTATGATGAAAGAATACGGCAGGGCCAGCAACACAGTTCTAGAAGCCTGCGCCATCCTTTCTTTTTCTCCCGCTGTGGTTGTCTCAGAATCTGGATTGTCAGTGTTGCCTGATGACGGACTAATGGATTACTGTCATGTTCCAAAAAATGGAGGACTGCAACAGAAGGAAACAAAACAGGGGTGAAACCCACCAACCCGCAGAGAACCACCAGAATCCCCTTCAGACCATGCCAGCCCCATCACTTTTCCAGGCCAGGAGAAGCACGTGAAACTAAGGGTTCAGCTGGAAGCTACTGCTCAGGATTGCTCCATCTGCCCCAACAATGTTCCTCTGCCCCTGCAACATTTCCTTGTGTGCAGCAGGCCAAGACACAGCTGCACACTACTTAGGCTCTGACCCTGCCCCCAGCCCCAGCACACATAGCACTGTTCTCACTCACCATTGTAGATTTTATTCCGCTTTCCCTCACTTGGGTTCCAGTAGCTCCACACAAAGCCTAGGTAGAGAGCTCCCATCAGATCCCCACTCCTCAACACGCTCCCAGGAGCACAGACTGCAGTCCAGCCAGCCCACCTGCTTCTGGCCCTGCACCCCAGGCAGTGACGGTGCCTGAGGGAGGACCTGAGTGAGGCACCCATCGGGACTACTGGCATGGGCAGAGTGTACCTGGGGGCTGCAGGGCTGTGCCTTGCTGTCAGGGCAGGGCTCAAAGAGGGACCCAGGGGTTGGGCTCACCAATGAACAAGAGAGCATTTTGTCGCATAGCAGCCTGAGGATCCTTCAGGTACAGCAGGCTCTGCTGTAGGTTTTTAGCCACCCTCTCCCTTCTCTGCTGTACCTGTACAAGAACACAAAGGCATGGGGCTTGCAGAGCCTTCCCAGCTGCAGCTGCGGACCCCCCACCAGTGTTCCTTCCCTCAACAAAGGGGCAGGGGTTGTGGAGTTGTCCTTACCAAGCACTCCCCAGCACATCCCTCTTCTCGGCCTGATGCTCGAGCTCCTGCCACTTCAGGAACCTTGCACAAGCGGTAAGGGCTTCCCTGGCAGCCTACAGAGCAACAGATGCTGGGAGATGGCACCACAGAAACAGACCCCAGGAGCTGCAACACTTGCTGCCCTCAACCCCAGACTGCCCTTGAGGTGTCAGCACACTCTTGCCTCTATAATGGCCAGGTCTGAAATTCATACCTGTGCAACACTCGAGATCTCATCACTGCTCCGAAAGAACAAAGGAAGCAGGCCCCTGCGTACTTTCCTCTTCATTTCTCCCTTTTGCCACCACACCACAGCCTCTATCACATCTTCGAAGAGGAGGATGGAAGACTCTCGTACTTCACCTGACACCTGAGGGAGGAGTACAGGAGAACCTCAGCAACTCTCTCTTGTTGCCCATGGTGAGCACAAGAGCAGGTGCGGCTGATGCAAAGCAAGATGCTTCAGAGTCACGTTCTGCATGAACAGGCTGTGAATTCATGAAAATCAATGCAACAGGGTTCCAGCACGCAGTGCCTGTGCCTCAGAGTGCTCCCCCAGCTACCCTACCACGACAAAGAAGAGCTTGGCAAGCATTGGCCAAGGAGGAGACAAGGATGCCCCTTGGCATTGTCTCCAGGGCACACGCTGCCTGCTTAGCCTTCACCTCTTTGTTATGGCACCTGGGGAGAATGCCCGGTGTTGGTAGTATAAGGGCAACTGGAGAGTCTGACACTAACCCTTGGCAGCAGGTGCTTTGCACAGTGGTCGGACTGGGCCACAACACAGGGGCCTCGCATCGCCAACAACAACCAAGCTGCCAGGGATGAGGCCTGCTGGGCTGCAGAGCCCAGAAGACATCCCATGAGAGCCCAGAAGAGCAAAGAGAGAAGAACGCATTCCAGCCAAGCACCCATCTGCAGAGCTCAGCCTTCCACAGCAGACTTACATGATTAAATAGATACAGGAGCTTGCCAGCCAGCTCCAGAGCAATGGGACGCGCCTCCATCTTCCCCAGATGATTCATGATGTTTTTGAAGATAGTCAGCGCATTAAGAGTGACGTGCGCATTGCCAAACTGCAGGGTCTCCATGATGTCTGGCAGCAGGGCCTGTATTTCTCTTGCCTGTACAAAACACACAATTTCCTTTTCATCAAGAGAGAGCAATGGCCACCCTGGCCTAAGAGCCCTGATTTCAGAGTACACGCCTTGCTCTCTGGCAGCTGCCACAGGAATGGCAGCATTAGACTCTGGGCAGGTGGTGGCCATGGGCACACTGATACGGACATAGGGAGATAGGAGAAGGAAAGTCGGAGAGCATGGTCTCTGTGTCCCACCCCCTTTTACAACAGGCCCCCAAATAACCCATCTGGAAAGCTCCCCGGGTAGCCACCAGGCCCCACCATGGCCATCATTCGCACTCTTGAGTCTCGGGCAAGGTCAAGTCACAGTACTGCCCACCGCCCCAGCACCAGGCTGCCAATAGTGTTTTCATTTGACTAGGGCCTGCTCACCGTCTCAGGTCTCTCTGACAGAAGCACAAGGCCTCTGAGCACCAGCCAGAGTAGTGGCAAGCTTTCAATCTTCAGAAACATCTGGAAGAGGTCTGGGTTACATAACTCTTGCAGGATCTCTTCAGTGGGGCACATCACCTGAAACCAACACAGCAGTGAGAGCCAGCAGGACCCTGCCCCTGCACCCTGCAGCTTCTGGCTTCTGTGGGAGGAGAGCAAGGTGCCTTGTCCAGTAACTCACAGCCATGCAAAGTAGGCCAAAATCCACTGCGGTGATGCTAAAGATCATGCACAGCTGTTGGTCCTGAAAAACACGGCACAGTTCTTGCAAGTGCATTCCTGAAGTCACTGTTGGAGCTAGCACTCTCTTCCAGATGTCCAGAGTAGTGCTGCAAATAAAGAGCAATGCTCTATCAGCAGGGCTGCCTCAGCCCCAGCGCCATGCAGGCAGCCCAGGTAGCCCACAGGCTGTGCTGCAGCCCTGGCCCTGCCATCCTGCGTCCTCTGGATGGGGGCTCCGCACTGCCTTGGTTGGCGTTGACTGCTGCAGCCCTGACTGGTCCACCAGCACTGGAAAGCACAGTGGAATGGAGGGCCTGTTCCTCCAGGATGTCCTGCAGCTTTGCGTGGCGCTGGCAGCCAGAGCATCTCTGAACCCTGCTCTTCACAGGAAGAAGACCACGGGGCTATCAGGGCAGATACCTGTCATTCTGTGGAAGATGGAGCAACACAGCCGTCAGCAGATCTCTGGGAAAAAGGTTGGTCAGCATATTCAGCAATGAGAAGAGAGTCTGCTGAAGTGACGCAAGCCTTCTTTTCAGGTTTCTATGGATGGACTGAAGAATCTCGGGCACCTGTTGGGAGAACACAGGAAGAGTATTGCCACAACTGTACTACAGCCAGTTGCCCCGCTGCCAGTGATACTTCTGCCCCTCCCATTGTTCTGTGCTGGCTTAAAATGGCTTCAGATGCCCAAGAGCTGTGGAGAGCAGGCCATGTCACTAGCATGGCTGATGCAAAGGGAGGTGCTTCAGAGGCATACTCTGCACAGATGTGTTGTGTGTTCATGCAAAGGAATGCAACAAGTGTCAATCACGGGCTGTCTGTGCCTCAGAGTATTCCCCTGCTACCCTTAATGGTCAAAGCAGAGCTCCCCAGGCACTGGGACAAGGAGGAAACAGGGCTGGCCCTCAGCAGTGCCTCTGGGGCACACGCTGCCTGCTTAGCCTCCACCTCCCTGCTGTGGCACCTGGGCAGAATACCTGGTGCTGGCAGCAAAGGGAGCCATGGAGCGTCTGAAAGTAACCCTTGGCAGCAGATGGATGCTCTGCTGCACAGAACCCGAGCAAGTTCCCAGTACAGGGTCCTCACATCACTAAGAATAACGAAGCTGGTAGGGACAAGGCCCGCTTCTCCTGCCCCTCTGAGCAGCCACAGCCTCTTGCTCTCATGCCTCTGAAAAGCAATTGACCTGCAGGAGCTGGCACAAAATTGGCACCAGATGTGCGTGGCCACAGGCACTTCTCCTCTCAGGTCCTGCAGCCTCCTCAGGCTGTACAGAGGCAATGGCTCACCCTGGTCCCCCATCCATGACCCTGACTCTACCCCTACCCTTTCCCAGCTTCCCATTCTGGGCGGCAAGGCATGGGAAGCAGGGAACTGGGGAAAAAGAGCCCTGAAGGAAAGCATGGTGCATTGTTTGGTAACTCACAGTCAGGCGAAGGAGGCCCAAGTCTCCTGTGGGAATCCCGCAGATTTCTTCCTCCATGAGCACAGTGCACAGCACATCTAAAACGTTCTCTGATGACTTTGGGCAGTAAATCATGTTCTTCCAGATACGCAGAGTGCTGCAAACGAAGAGCAATACTCTGTCAGCAGGGCTGCCTCAGCCACAGCACCATGGCTCAGGAAGTCCTGGTAGGCCACAGGCTGTGCTGTAGCCTTGGCCCTGCTGCTCCTCGTGCTTTTGGAGGCCTGGGGGCCCAGCCTGGGCAAGCAGGAAGGGCTGAGATGGCCTTCCCAGAGGGGCGAGGCAGGAGCGTGATGGAAGCCCCGGGCTGCCTTGGTCGGTATTGGCTGCTGCAGCCCTGACTGGCCCACCAGCGCTGGAAAGCACAGTGGAAGCTCGTCAAGGATGCCCTGCAGCTCTGCGTGGCTCTGGCAGCCAAAGCATCTCTGAGCCCTGCACTTCACAGGAAGAAGACCGCGGGGGCTGTCAGGGCTGGTACCTGTCATTCGGTGGAAGGTAGATCAACACACTCATCAGCACATCCCTGGGAAACTGGTAGGCCAGTATTTCCAGCACTGAGAAGAGTGTCTGTTGAACTGATGTGCTGCTGCTTTTCATGTGTCTGTGGATGAAGCTCATAATCACCGGCACCTGTTCAGAGGACACAGGGAGATTGCTGCTGCCACTGTACTGCAGCCATTTGTCCCGCTGCCAAAGACATTACTGCCCTTCCCACTGCTTTTGCTGGCTTGAAGTGCCTTCAGATGCACATAATCTACAGAGGGCAGGGCAGGGCACGGTAATCTAGCCTTGGACTGCTTACATCCATCAGCCAGCTGCTAGGCTGACTCAGAACCATATCCAGTATAATTTCGGACCACTCATCGTCCTCAACAGCGCAGTCTTCAGTGGTCTTTTCAAGGGCCATGAGGACGATGTCTGTTCTCTGAGAAGGTTGGAGGTGTTTTCCAAATGGCTACAGTAGAAAGGAAAAAGAGAGGGAGGACATGTCAAATTGAGTGAGAGACTGTGGTCTGGAGGGGGAAGGCCCGAGCAAAAGGAAGGATGAAGACCCTTGCTTCAGGGCAGAAACATGCTGAGGGCTCCCAGCTGTGCCCAAGCTTGTCTTGCATGTACCCCTGAGCTGCAGGCTGCTCTGGGATGCAGAGAACAGGAGATAGCCTGGCTGGAAAGTTCCTGGCTCCTTACCTCCTGACAGAAACCATAAAGCTTCCAGATCTGCTCCATGGCCCTCTCACGCACAGTTTTT